TGGGGAAGTTTTCTGTCAGCTGTTCTTCAATGATTCTCTGTGTTTTCTGTTTTCTCCCCGTTTTGGAACTTCAATCACTGGAAAATTTTTGCTTTTGATTGTATCCCACATAACTCTCAGGGTCCCTTCATTTTTCTTTGTTCTTTTTTCTGAGTTTTCCTGAAACTGAGTTGTATCGAAGTGTTTGTCTTCAATTCCACTGGTCCTGTCTTCCACTGTTTCAGATCTGCTTCTCAGCCCTTCTGTGACACCGTCCATTTCTGAAAGCTTGTTGTTTACCTTTTGGATTTCTAATTGTTGTTTTCGTGTAATTTCTAGTTGTGAATTTATTTTGGCATTTTGTTTCTACATTATTTTCCTGAATTCTTCCAGTTTTTTGTCTGTATTTTCCATGAATTTTTATGTTTTTTTCTCATTTTTGTCTGATTTTGCTTCAGCTCTTGGAGAATTCTGAGTATCAGAGATTTGAATTCCCTATCAGTTAGTTTTAGTGCCTTTTCTTCCACTGGAAAGTCATCTGGTGTTTTATTTTGGACTCCTACTGGAACCATCCTGTCCTGTTTTTGTAAAAGTTTTGATATTGTCTGCTGTCTTCGGGGTATTCAGTAGTTATTTTTTGCGTTTATTGACTGTAGATTTGTTTGTTTCGTCCCTTTTTCAAAAAAAATTTGGCTATGTCTGAGCAGGCAGGTTGTGTGTTCTTTGTTGTTTGATCGTCTGTGGGCACAATGCTTTTCACCTCCCTCTCCAATTGGCAGGGTCAGTAACTCATATATGGTACCGTAGGCAGGTTTAGCTGAAGAGGAGTTACTGGGACAGGTTGTGGCACTTACTACAGCCACCAGGGTGGGTCGGTAATCAGTGCAGGGCAGGTTACAGTAGGCCGTGCCTGTGCTACTTGGTGGTGTGATGTCAAGTGCACAGTGCAGGTAGGCAGGATGTAGCGGGGAGATTGTTATGCGTGGAGCTAAGATGGATATGGGAGAGAGGAGAGAGGAACAGGAGCGAAAAACATGCAAACAAACAAAAAAGAATGCTAGGGGAGCTTGCCGTTGGAGAGGAGAGATGAGAGATTATGAAATGGAGAAAAACAAAAAGGAGAAGAGGAAGAAAAAAAGAAAAGAAGAGAATGAATAAATAAAAATCAGAAAAGGAAAAGAACAGCTAAGTTCCCAGGGATCCCACTGGTGCGGCTGTGAGGTCTGGGGAAGTTGTTCTCACGTGTTGCCGTACAGCCTGGCTAGAAGGCGTAGAGATATACAATGCCAGGTATTCAGGGAACAGAAAGAGAAGGAAGATATAGAGAGATAAGAAACTGAGTAATGAAGAAAGACAAAAAGGGAAAAAGAGGGAAAAGAAAACAAAACAAATTAAAAAAAAACCCAACAAGAAAAGCCCCCCAAAAAACAGGAAAAAAAATACCAATGAAAAAAGAAATGCGCTCTAGGCTCCCTCTGCAAGTCTGCACAAGCTGAGGGGGTAGGCTCCAAGCCACACAGGACCTCCCGGCCAGAACTGGCTCCCAACTCAAGAAAAGGAAAAGAAAACTAACAAAGAACCCCAAACAAACAAACAAACAAAAGCCCCGGGATCCCACCAGCATGGCAGCCCAGACTGGGAAGCAGCTCCACACTTGAACGGAGCTCCACAGCCCCTCAGGAAGAAGCAAAGATGGTGCAAAGAGCCAGGTATTTGAGCGAAAGGAGGGGGAGGTGGTGAGAGGTAAGGAAGAAATCAAAAGAAGTGGAAAAAAGCAGTATCAGCAGCCAGCTAATGGCACGCAGAGAGCCGGCCTGTTCAGGTGGGTAGAATCCAAGCAGCCGGTGCTTCCCGAATAAGAGATTGTGGCCGTGGGAAGCAGAGGAGGCCGAGAGGGGTGAAGAAGGGTGTGGGGTGGGAAAGAGTATATCGCAAATTACCAGTTGTTTTGTCTCCCTCTGGAAGCTCCGTGAAGCTGCTTTCTCGTACCCCCTGTTTGCTGGTCTCTGATGGGAGTCCAAGATTGTGGATCCGCGCTGCGTTAGCTGATAGGGGACCACCGCATGAATCTCTCCTCGCTCTCCATTCTCTGTCAGTTTTCTCACTCCATTTGGTGCTTGGCTGAGTTCTTCACCTCTTCATTTGATGTTTTAGGGTTTCAGGATTGTTGTTTTCTCTGTTTGGTTTAGTTTTTTGGATGTTTGCTGTGGAGGGACGGTGTGGTGCTTCTGCCTAGAGCATCATTTTGCCGGAAGTCCTCTATTTTTCTTTTTTTTTGGTATTGTACTTTAAATGAAAGTTTACAGGGCAAACTAGTTTCTCATTAAACAATTAATATACATATGTTTTATGATATTGCTTGCCAACACAATGGCATGTCAACACTCTCCCCTCCTTGACCTTGGATTCCCTATTACCAGATTTCCTGCCCCTCCTGCCTTCTCGTTCTTGCCCCTGGGCTATGTGACCATTTAGTCTCATTTTGTTTTATGGGCCTGTCTAATCTTTGGCTGAAGAGTGAACCTCGGGAGTGACTTCAGTACTGAGGTATAAGTGTGACCGGGGGCTGTACTGTCGGGGTTTCTCCAGTCTCTGTCAAACCAGTAAGTTTGGTCTTTTTTTTTCCTTTTTTGTGAATTAGAATTTTGTTCTACATTTTTATCCAGCTCTGTCTGGGACCCTCTATTGTGATCCCTGTGAGAGCAGTTGGTGATGGTAGACAGGCACTGTCTAATTGTGCTGGACTCAGTCTGGTGGAAGCTGTGGTACTTGTGGTCCGTTAGTCCTTTGGACTAGTCTTTCCATTGTGTCTTTGGTTTTCTTCATTCTCCCTTGATTCAGATGGGGTGAAACCAGTGGAGTATCTTAGATGGCTGCTCACAAGCTTTTAAGACCCTGGATGCTACTCATCAAAGTAGATTATAGAATATTTTCGTTATAAATTATGTTATACCAATTGAGCTAGATGTTCCCTGAGATGATCACTGTTTTTATTATTATTTTAACAATTACATCTTGCAGACTCCCATCTTTCTGTGTTTCTTACATAAGAGATTTTTTTTCCCCAAGAGAAATCAATGATCCCCTCTCTAGGTTCCTGTTACCCTAACCACTCCTCCCCCTGCCCCTTTGCACAGATGCTGAGGTCTGAGGTATCTGTAAGCCTCTCCCTCTTGCTCTGCTCACTGTGGGCCACTGAGAGCACAGAAATACATTGCAGCATCCTCCAGCTGTGAGTCTGCAATCTTGAGGCTGAAGGACTTGGCTGCTTTCTGGAAGTTCACAGAAAAGCGATTCTCTGTTGCATTCTGCTGCTTAAAAGCCTCCTGGAGAATAATGAAAATCATCTTCCCTCTGGGAAGCTGTTTGTACCAGAACAAATAATAATTACTATCTTTAGTGTCATATGTGCAGTCCAGAGTCACTGACTCTGTCTCCCGGACAGACTTTTGCTGTTTAGACTGAGTTACCATCTGGGCTGCACTGGATGCTGTGGGAAAGAGGAGAAAGAGAAGGTACCATGTTGAGGTGTTGAGGTATCTGCAGAGACAAAGTAGACAGACTCTAGAGCTGTTGTCCATTCCCACCCACCTTTCGTCTTCCTCATCCAAATCCCAGGCCAAATATATCAGCTTTCTGCCTCCCAGTAACTGGGTCCTCTGAGGCAATGCAGTTCCTATGCTATTAATCTCCCCTGCTTCACAGCTCCTTGTTGTTTTTATTTGCCATTGAGTTGTCTCCATATCACGGTGACCTTATGCATAACAATGAAACATTGCTCAGTCTTGTGCTATCTCCATGATCTTTGATATGTTAGAGCCTATTATTGAGGCTATTGTGTCAATCCATCTCACAAAGACTTGCACCATCCTTACCAAGACAGGAGGAGACTGTGATGGCCCACAGCAAGCTGACAAGTGTCATGCTGGCAGTTCTCTCTGCAGGTGAAAAGTCTCCTGCCCTGATCTGGGTTCTCATCTGTGCTTGGTGACACTTCTGCTTCACAGCAGGAAATGCTATGACAGTTGGGTGGGTGATTATGTCCCACTGAAGAATGTTTTTCTGATACTTTTTGCTTTCTCTTTCAGAAAATTGGCCTTTGGTTAAAATTCTAAATGAAAACGATAACTGTTTTCTGAGTTCTATTATTTTAGGACTACAATCAGGAGGAAATGGAGTTGGCACATTTATTTTTGGTAATATCAGATCTTATCTTGGAGAGGAGAATGGTGGGCCAAAGTGGCAGTGTTTCATCTATAAAAATGACAAACTTTTTGTAGTTTTTATTTTCTTTTTTTTAATACAAATTACAAGACAAATATAGTAAAGTGTGAACAGTTAATCATGGGTGATGAAAATGCACGTATCATATTAATGTTTTTAATTTTTTATACTTTTATGATTTCTTGAAATAAAGAATGAGAAAAAAAGATCTATCTTAGTGGCTTAATTCAGAGATAAGTGGAAGCAGGACTTGGAGTGTCTTATCATGTTTATGTTTTCCATGGAGACCTTGTTTTATAAGACCTCGTTTGTGCTTATTGAGTTCTGAAATAAATATTACAATTTCTCTGTCTTGCAACTTCAACTACTGAAGCTCTCATCAGCACTGAATTGCCTCAGACAACACATTAAGAGTTGCCCTCCACAGTTCCTTTAGAGAAAATATTGTGAACAAATAACTTTTTAGAATCCTCTCTATGATTTATTAGGAGTCCTGGTGGCGCAATGGTTAAGTGTTCAGCTGCTAGCCGAAAGGCTGGTGGTTTGAAACCACTCAGCGGCCCTGAGGGAGGAAGACCTGGTGATCTGCTTCTGTAAAGATTACAGCCAAGAAAACCCTATGGGGCTTCTGCTCTGTCACATGGGGTTGCTATGAGTTGGAATTGACTCAATGGCACCTAACAACAGCACCTGACAACACCTATGATTTGTTAGAATTTTGCATTTTGGGAGGAAGTGATAGGAATACTTATGCTACCCTAGAGTTGTAACAGAATGGCCTTGTTACATGTGAGTCCTGTCTGGAGAGCACGGGTTCTCTGTAATAGGGATAGGTGGCTGAGCCTCCCTACTGAGAGAAGTGCAGGAAGCCTTGAGATTTGGGGCCAGCACTGAATAAGGCTGCTAAATTTCCCTTGTGTTCCAAATCCCAGTTTGATAGGAATGAAAGCAGAGGCACCAGAATTTCTTCTAGAGTTCCTTCATCCTTATCCCATGATTTGCATTCCTGCATGTTGGTTTTAAATCCCCAAAAGTTAGCTGTGATACAAGGATTTATGTGAAAATAATTTCTTTGTTTGTGCTTCTAGAAAACATTGATGGGAAGTGAATCAGGGAGTGGAAGGAATCCTACACAGGCTGTGTCATTAAACTAGTTAACCTCTTTGGGAAATTGGAGCTTACACCAGCTGGATAACTCTGGGAGACAGTGTAACATACCTAATGGAGTTATCCTAAATGAGGCATCTCAACCAGTCCATCACTGGTTAAGGGGCATTAACCTTCTGTCACCTCTGACACCCTGCATGCTGGCCTCATGTGCTTCCGTGGCCATAAAATAGTCCTCATAGTTGTTAGGCTTTTCTATAAGCAGTGTTTGATGAGTACAGTTGACTGCCAAGAGGATATAGGTGAGGCAATGATAGTATCTGTATAGTCCATTCATGCACTACTCAGATCCAGTTGTGTTCTGTTAAATCAACAGCCTTTGAGTTATCATTCCAACGTTCCATCAGACTGGCGACTTGTGGATAACATGGTATATATTAGTATCAGTGTACTCAATGGTCACATACCTATTGTCATGGTGCTGGGCTCATGGAATGCCTCTATTCTGTCACTTTGGCTAATCTATTCACGAGTCTGTTTTTCAACCGCTGGAATGCACAAGGGCAGAAGCTGGCTGACATCTCCTGATGAACCATCTTGCCCACATGGCTGTTCAGCTCCTCCTTTACAGTGGATGCTCTCTGGTGGGTATTGACATGAGACACAACCATCTGAAGAGTCTATGCCGACACTCATTGCTCCTTTAATTCCGGGTCATCCTTAAATATTATTGAATGCCACCTCCTCACACCTTGCCTTACTTGGGGTTCTTACCTTAGAAAAGGGCAGGATGCTGGGCACTTTTCAAAGACCCACATCCCCTTTGACTCTCTCTCTAGCCAGTTGGTTGAACTAAGTAGAAATCCCTTCTCACAAGTCATTTGTAAACTTTATACCCTTCTCCCCCGGTTTTGGTACTTGATCTTCTGAGCTAATCTTTTTGGAATGTGGACAAATAAAAAGATTTTTTTTTCACTACTGAATTTGAACTTGATGGCTTTCAAGGTATTGTACTTTCTGTAGATTTGTAAAAGTGTACAATGGAGCTCAAAAGCAAGAATTTTACTCTGTTCTCTCTTTGTTCTTTAGTGTTCTCTCCTTTCTGATACTAAGTGTCAAGTTTTGGACTAGTTTTATCAGAGTAAGGGATTCATACTGAGAAAGAAAATATGTCAGATAGTATCTCAAAACACCATTCCTCTGTACATGATCTTCAAATGAAACAGTTTGGCATTATGTTATAAATAGGGACTCACATTTCCCTTTGCTCACAGAAAAGTTAAAGGAGTTGTCCCCAGAGTCCCTATAAAAGGAGGTGTGCTCGGGCCAGCTGAAAGTTTTGGGTACAGGGTGCAGGTGCTTGAGGGGCCCTGTGTAGTTGCTGCACACAAGAATATGACTGAGTCAAGGAGTGGGGAATCCTTCATGTGCAGGGAAAAGTGCTGGTCTCCTTTGTTAAGCCTGGCTGTGACTCTTCCACTGACCTTATTGCACACGTTGGATGACATTTGTATCAGGGAGGTGAGGCCTTGCCCAGGATTCTGCCCGAACCATTGGAAGAAATCTGAAACACTATCTTTGTAGCTGCAGTTCAGTGTGAAGCCCTCACCTTCCTTGACTTGCAGGGCTGCAAGACTCTGCTCTACCTGCAGCTGTCCACTTGACCCAGTTCAGGAGGAATGAAGACTTTAATATTTCAGAAAATGTTCCCCCCAACCACTGAATTTTCCTTAATTGTTCCACGCTTCTTAGAATGAACCCCAGATTGCCCTTGGGATTCTTTAGGTTTCATTGTCAGAGTTGCCCCCATATTCCCTCGCCTGCACCCTTCCTTCCCACCTCCACTCCTTTGTCGCTCACAGGTGAGCTGCACGCATAGGAGCAGCAGTGAAGCTCTCAGAGGATCCTCCATTCTTTCTTCTCTCAGGAGTGTTTGAGGATTCAGTTTGGAGATACGGAACTGACCTTATTCAATGGGCTTCAATCACTGTTCTAGATTTTGTGTGGAAGCTCTGATGATCTTCATTCTGTTTTCTCAAGCAATCAAAATCTCATTTGTCACCTTAAGCACGTCACTAAATCTACTCCCCCCACCCCGCTCCCATCCACACTGTCATTTCTGCCAATAGAAGCGTTGCCCCCATGTGGTCTGAACTTTTTTATTTAAAAAAAAATTATTTATTTACTCCTTAATGCAAAGTAATTCAGCATACTAAATTTTAAAAAGATAGAACATACAGACAGGCAAATAGCAAGCAAGCAAACAAAAAAACAGAACAATCATAATGTCAAATCATTCTCCAGTGATGATTGTCTTACTATCTTTTAAGCTTGAAATTCCTTTCCTCACTCTCCTCACCTTTAATGGAAATCTATGAAAAATTTTTCTCTGTATGACACTATACTAGGCTCTGAAGGGTACAAGTAAAAGGTTTAGAGAAGCCTTGGTTCTTTCTCTCAATTGGTTATCACCTACCATGGCTTTTTGTCACTCTAAACAGTATTATATTAGTTAAAAGAGTTAGCTCTTTCCCAAACTCTGTCTAAAAAATACGAAGCAAGAATATATATGTTCTTAGGTGCCAGAGGGCAACCTGGTGTCTGACTGACACAGAAAATACTCGTGCCTTTGCAAAAATCTAAGTTCTTCTTATGTTTAGATCTGGACACCTGTGCAGACTCTAGTAATTTTCTATATTTTGTATATTAGTTATCTGAAACCCTGTTTGATGGTCTGCTATATTTTTAGAAAGTATTAGAAATTCAGGAGGAGGAGAGGTTAAGGAAGTTCTGTTGTTTGCACTCAGTGCCCACCCTGCTGACTCTAGTGCCCACCACTTAACCACATTTTCTCAGCTGCATTCCTTGGATAAAGCCCTGGCCCTGACAAATCTATTCCTCTCTCTTTCTTTCACTATTTCTAGTTGTGGGAGTGAGGTAAGTAGCTGTGAGACTGTGATACATAGAGAGCCATGATTTTCTTTGATGTTAATTGTAAATGTTAATCTTCCATTCTTCTTTATGTATGAAATTATGTCAAACGGGGAGACTCAGCTCCCCCTAGCATTCTTCCTGCAACACTGCATAATAACAGCAGTGTCATTGTACCTGAGATCGACATTACTTCCCTCTTGAAGATGCAGGGTCCAAAGAGAACTGTACTCTACCTTCCCCCTCCTCTCATGTCTACTTGAGAAGAAAACAATAGACATATGGGTGGTCCCTGGAAATCTGGCTATTTGTATATTGCTACACCTCCTAGGGAACCTTGTGATCCTTCTTTTCTCCAATCAAAGCTCCCAGAAATCACATCAAGTTTAGAACCAGAGAAACTAGCAAAATTTCTAGCTGTCCTCTTCATGATTCTTTCTATTGGTGAGAATCGTTGCCTGGAATGTTCCAAAATGAGAGAATTTTAGTCTGGAAAGAATAGAAGAAGTTGTTCCAGTTGCTTGGAAGATGTAACATTTACTTGAGGGTTTCCCTAGGAATTTTCTTCTCTCGTAACTCAGATGTGACAGTTTCAACATTCCAGGTAAGAAGGAGCAGGATGATTAATGATTCTCTTGAGCAATGACAGACAGGAGTTGTGGCAGGTTAATAATAAATG